TGAGGGGATGAGGGATTTTACGCTAAATTGTATACAGAGGAGCAACAATAAATCAGACACAGGTAGGAGTGGACACGCTAAGCCGAGAGGTCGGCAAGGCGTGCAGGCGGGAGGCGGCTGACAGTACCTCGGACTCGTGATGACTGAACGGGCAGGCAGGAAGCGGTACGGGGTCGGGGGTTAAGGAGGCCACTGAATGAGGTTCAAGGGAGCTGGAATGTACTGCATAAGGTGGGAAGTCACTGAATGATTTTTACAATTTTTTCTACTTAAAAAGTAACAAATAAGAATTGTAGAAAATGGAGAAAAGGTACAAATGAGGAATATTACACGTTTACCATAGAGAGACAAACGTTATTACTCTTCTTTCATCTGTATGTGTTATGTAAACATGTATCATGTGAGTACGATTTTCATGTTACTTTAATTCTGCTAATATTTATGAAGCATTTATTAGGTATCAGACATTGTGCTAAATACACCGCAGGTATTCTGTTATGTTATTTAATCCTCACAAGAATTCTTCAGAGGGAGCTCCTACTGTAATCCCATTTAGAGACGAACGCGGGACGGGTTGTACCACCCGCAAGTCCACGCCCACATGCAGCAGCGCGGAGATGTAACACTAAGGTTTCGTACTGCAAAGACCATACTCTTACATTTCAAGTTTTTTTTTTCCCTCTCACTCATTTAATTTATAAGACAAGTGCATCGTTTTATCCAATTTTCTCAGAAAAACGCTCTGTGCTCTTGAGTAGCCTTGCAGTAAACCGAAAAAAGTAGATCTGGAAAGCAAGAACACCTCACTGCACTGTGTTCCCCTACAAGGAGCACAGAAAACCCCGGCGTTACTCCACCTTTCTGCAGCCCTGGTGACGTTGGCACTTTTCTTGTAAACCAGCAGGGTGACATGTTCAGATGTGTCCTCTGGACAGATTAGTCTGGCAACAGTATGAAGAAGGATGGGTTTGAAAAAACCAGATTGGAAGGCTGAGGTACAATCCAGGTGAGAGACACGAAAGCCAAGGGTCAAGGCAGTGATATTTGGGGTGAAGGGGAGGGACTGAATCAGAACACAGAGAAGACAGACTTTAAACAGAGAGGACAGACTTTAAAAGACTGGGTGTGGAGCAAAAAGAAGAAGCAGGGTGGTGTTGCAAGAGAGAGGAGGTAGGGGAGAACGGATGGTGGATGTCATTCATTGAGAGAGAGAACACAGGAAAGAGAGAGAGAGAAAGAGAGAGGGAGAGAGAGGGATTGAGGGAGGAGGAAGAGAGGGATCGAGGGATAGAGAGATCAGTAGGGAGAATAATTAATTCACTTGTGCATTAAATCGGTGGACACACTCCAAGTGCCTACTCTCCGGCGGGGGCCTTGCTGAGTGCTGGGGAGTCAGTGTGAACCAGACTGAGGAGGTCCCAGGAGGAGTGGAAGGAGGGTATCAAGGTGATTGAGACGAGAGCACAGAAGGTACAGAGGGCTGTTGACCTGGCAGAGGTGGCCTGGAGAGGGGTCTGAAGTCCAAGGACAGGCTAGAAACTATGAACCGCAAGCATGAATGAGAATGTCCTCAGAAAATGTGCACGCGGAGTGAGAACAGAAGGGGACTGGGCTGGCGCTCAGAGTACACTGGTGTTTTTAGCTCAGCAGGGGAAGCAAGGGACCAAGAAGGAACAGCCAGATGCAAGAACCAGAGGTCACAGGAGCCAAGTGGGGAACAGAAGGAATGACAACCCATCTTGAGACCATACTGCTCTGGGACTTCTCAGAAAGAATAATTTAAAAAAATATATTTTTAAAAGTCCCATAGAAAGTCCATGATGAGGGTAAGAATTTACATCTCCTGGCTGCCTCTCCAAGCTTTATCCATCAGCCATTTGGAGTTGATGATTAATATTCAGTAGAAAGTGAATTTATAATCATGTGTCTGCCATTCAAATGTGAAATGTTTTCTGCTCAGTACACCCAATAATACATTAATATATCTCTAGTTTAAGATACATTTATGAATAATTTTATATATTTTATACATTCCCTGGCAAGAATGATAATAGAACAATCTATTTTCACTGCTACATGAAACAAAAAGAGAAATGAAAGGTTCAGTTAATCAAGGGATTTAATATGCTTTATAATAAATATCAAACAGTCATTACTTGGGCTATACAAAGGGTGGCTGAGGTCAAAAGATTATTATAATAGCAAGAGTTTATGCCCATTTTTATTCTGTCAGTTGCTTACATTTGCATAGGAAGTTTCTTTTATTCATGAATTTTTTAACCACATTAGAATGCTAAAAATCAAATTTGTTTTTCCTGATTTATATATGGGCAGTAATAAGATTTTGGGGATGATTAAGAGTAGTAACAATCAAATAAATAAAAAACACTAGCTCTTCCAAGGTACCAACAGACAGATATGAAAACAAATTACCTTCGCTGCCTTAGGTAAATGTGGCTTGGAAAGACCAGAATCTGAAATGATCACTGTGGCAGTGTTTGATAAGGCCAGGAGAGGCAAAATAATGGGAATTCTACCTCTTTTGTCATCTTTGTCAAAAGTGTGTATGCATATGTATGTATGCACAGTCTGCACACTCAAATTGATGGCATCCTGATCATCAGGAGAGAGGCAGTGATTTCAAAATTGTCACGGAGAGACCTGGGTCAGGTCTCTCCCAGGAGGAGCTGACGAAGTCACAATCTCCCCCCTTAACCTCCACCTGGATCTGGGAGTCACAACTAGTCCAGAGTAAGACAGCTAATTTAAGACACCAAAAATGACTCTGGGGTGATTCTTCCTCAAATGATCGAATAGCACATTTTTAGCATACTGTAATTAAAATTTAAGATCTGTCCATGATGTTGGTGAAATAGAAAAGACGATTACTAATCACCAGCTAGTGTGGGGTGGACATTGGGCTGGACCAGGTATTCTGACTCATGTTGATGTTCCTTCTCATGGTAGCCTCTAATATTGGTAGGTTTTCAGTAAACTATAGCAATAGGTACAAAAGTAAGACCATAAATAAATGCAAGGTAAATATGTCCCCAGGGACCACAGTGAAAACAGTGGAGCTCTAGTTAAAACATCCAACTGCACAGTTTCGTGGCCTGGATCCTTGGCCACATGTGGTGGTGTATGACAATATGACAGAAAGGGTAATCTTCACAGGGCCAAAGCCATGAGCTAGCAGGTACTGTCTCTCAGGAAATAAGCAGCAACAACATCTCCATCCTCCTCTGTCGCCCTATTTCTCGGCTCACCTGCAGGAGCTGTGACAAATTGGGGTTTCCAGAATCCTGGAGCAACCCTCCCCTGGCTGACCAAACTATAACTCTCCTACCCTCTCTGTGCCATTCGGCATTCATCCTCACACGCTGGTGAACTTCCTGGAATGATTACATGGAGAGTTCTGAAAGCTTTCGAAAATCTAAAGTATAAACAAATACTACTAGCTTCATTCTAGGGGTTATTAATATATACTTTTGGAATCAGCAAGCTGGGAGAAATCTTGGATATATTTTATTCTAAGCCCTTCATTTTACAGATAAAGGGAACTATGGTGCTGGTATTCGCCGGTCACCAAAATAACAACCGACTCAAAGTCATAGGACACATTCCCGTAATTTCTAAGGCTTCATGAAGGCAAACCTTAATGACACATTTTCATGTTGTAAGAAGTTAATCATCTAAATCCAGGATGTCAATGATATGGTGTATCTCGTCATTTGTAATCATGTTCAGATTGAGGGTATTACTTCAACTGTTCGAAATGCGTTCTTCTTCCATGGACCCCAGTTTCACGTTCCGGTGTTATCAATGGCATCAGCATGCCTCTCATAAATTATCTTTGAACAACTTTATATATGTTAAAGATTTCTGAATTCTTTCTTCTCTTCTCTGCACCTGGATCAGTGACAAGAAGAGAAGCTGACCCCCGTTGACTTCAAATGGGACAGCCCAGTGGGAATGGGTAGGATGGAGATAATCTGTAAGGCTTCTCTTCCCAAAATGTGCTCTGCTTTTAAAAGATGTACATACTTTACATTTACTAAATGAAAATCTATTATTATGTTTAAGAAACTATGTCAATTAAATTTGTAAACAAATAAACAAGTAAATTTTATTTTTCTATACTGTGGACTCAACTTCTATTTCTTACACATAGATTCAAGTTGGTAGAATCAGTCTTTAAAACACTGCAGATGCTTTTGAGGGGCGAAGGTAAGAAAACTAATTGTTTAGAATATACAGCATGTCTGTGTACGTATGGGAAAACATTCGGAGGAATACACCCGAGACTGACTGTAACTGAGGGCATGTGTCATGTAAGGCCAGAGTCCATTCTGATTGGTTGGTGCCTGTGCCATATTGGCTGTTAAATATTTTTTATTTCACTTCTAAAATAAACTAATATGTTAACAGACATTATCAGGTGTTACCATTTTTTTTTCTTCTTCTGTATAGTCTCATTTATTCTTCCAGAGAAAATGTAATACTTATGCAATTAAACAAATGTGATATTAAATGCGAACTACAGAATGCTCATAGTATGTGTTATGCCAGGCTACGGAACATCTTCCTATCACCAAAGCAAAGGAATTGGCTGAAGATAAAGAAGGGTAGCCAGTTTAAAAAGCAGACAGGACAAGCTTTTAGTAAAATGGTGTTAATTATGTCAGTATCTGCAGACAGTAAGCAAGAAAAATCCAGTGGTAACTATTTTCCCTGAAGAAGGCTCAAAAGATACCAACATCCAAGTGCGTCGGGAACCATGACAACTTCCTGCTGCATGAAGGTGTCCACACTTTGCAGAGCGATTTCAGAGACAGACATTGATCACATCCTCACCGTCATTTTCCCCTCACAGCCAGTATTTACACTTTCGTGTGTTGCCGACCAACCCATTATATAAAAAAGTAATAAAATAAAGTAACACAACATCATATTTTACACATTAAATTAAAAGAAAATAAATGTTTTCCCACCACCTCCACCTGGTTAACTTGGAGCCTCGGGAAGATGTGAGGATCGTTTGACCGCTGTGAAGCGTTCTGACCCATGTCCAGCCGCACTTCCCTGGCTTTGGGCTCCGCTCCCAGTAAGCTTGACGGGCCTGGGTAACAAAACTCCTTCCGAGCAGTGAAACAATTCTTTAATGAGAACGCTGAGTGCCAGCCAGATTTCCGCATGTGCCCCTGTCTAACAAACAATGGAGACACATCATTTCTTATAAATTATAGCGAATAAAAATAGTAGTTTTGGAAAATCACCTAAACTTTTTAAAAACAATGAAGCATCTTTGGAAATACAAATGTGTTTGTGTTTAGACTTTCCTGTAATTTTGCTTAAAGAATTTCTTTATGACACAGCGTGTTGTACTCGGGATAAATACGGGTCTTCAGGAGAAAGGATTCAAATCATGTCACTGAACTTCCAAATTATGGAAACATGATGCATTGACTCAGACAGTTTGGTGGTTTAATCACAAATTACTCTCCATTTTCCAGCTGCTGAAATGATTGCTTTGTGACTGTGCTCTGCCCCGTGAAGACAGCGCCAGCATCAGCTTCTTACTTCGAGCTACACTCACTGGAAATAAAGCAGCTGGGAAAGATCCCGGTGCTTTACCCAAGTCAACCCACAGAGAATGCTCTCAAACTCTACTTTTCAAGGTATCAGTATTCTTGATATGGAATAAAATAATCAATTAAAAAGCTGAAGCTGGGGTTGAGGGACCCTGAGAGGTAGTCTGAACAAATCCAATCTAAGTTTTACGAAAATCAGATGAATAAGCGAATGTTCCAGGAGAAGGGGGCAGAAGAAAGAATGGAGAGCAGGGTGTTCACCTTGGCCACCAGCACTTTCTGCTAGGGCACACGGATGGCTTTTCCATCTTGTCAAGAGTTCGAGGAGGCTCAATTTAAAACAGCAGGTTCTACTACAGTTGAACACACTTTACCACACATGGTTAATGGGATTCAAGCAACTTTTATTTTTAAAAAATCTTCACCCGAATCTATTTTTCCATTGATCTTCAGATAGAGTGAGGAGGTGTGTGTGTGGGGCGGGGGGGGGGGGGGGGGCGCGGAGGGGTGGAGAGAAAATATTGGTGTGCGAGAGACACATTGACTGGCTGCCTCCCGTACAAACCTGCCCAGGGCCAGGGACCAAACCCCCACTGAGGCAAGTGCTCTTGACCAGAATCAAATCTATAACTCATTGGTCTGCAGGCTGAAGCTCTAACTGCTGAGCCAAACCGGCCAGGGCAGAATTAAAGCAACTCTAAAATTTGGCCATCAGTTCCTTGAAACTCCTCTCCTTAGGTGGTGGAGGCTATTGTCCCCTCCCCTTGAATCTGGGCAGGACTGTGCTGCTTCCTCGCACAGAATGCTGGAAATGCTGCTTGTGACTTCGGGCGCTAAGCTGTAAGAGACATGCAGTTTCTGCCTGCACACTGAAACACTAGTCCCTGAGCCTAGGTGCCATGTGGTTAGTCCCACTGCACTAAGGCCACCATGCTGAAGTCACTCTGATGAATGGCCCCAACTGAGCCCAGCCTCCCCGACATCCCTGCCAAGGTCAGAGAAACAGGAGCAAAGCTGTCTTGGACAAGACCATCTGACAGCTGAACACTACTCGGCTGAGCCCTGGCTGAATCTCTGTGCAAAATCCCAAGAGAGAATAGAGTGATTGCTGCTTTATGTCACTAAGCTTTAGGACAGTTTGCTATGCAGCACAGAGAATCACAGAATTTGGAAGGGTCTTAAAGATCTGCTGGTGAAAGGCTGCTTCTGAGCAAACAGATCCAGACTGGGTAAGTGGCCAACGTCACTGGCTAGCAATCGTGTCAAAACCAGAAACCAGGTTACATCCCACCTCCACCTTCTCAGTGTTATTGTGAGAACTCAAAATGCATCATGCATTATCTACGTACCTTTAAAAGTTACGGAAAATTCTGATATCTTTTTTCTTATGCCTTTACTTTAAAAGCATTTCTTTGGATAAATTGGGAAATAATTACTGTTTGGAGAGTATAGAATAAAATTTCTGACAAACACTGGCTTCAGTATGTGGACTGTAATATTAGCTCCAAAAAGTATGCATAAGATTTCACCTCTTTACTCCCATTTCATGTTAAATATCTTCAGGTAAATAAATTACACCTCTAGTACTTATATAGTAATGTTTTGCTCCAACTTGTTAAGACAATATATGATCTTTTCTTAGATACAATAACACAGTTCTTAACTTTATTTCTTTAGTTAGTTGAAAACATACTACAAGGTGACAGTGAGCTTCCCATGGTCAGCTTTTTCTTTTTCTTTTACTAAGGTTATTAGCTTTTTGTATGAGCAGTTCACAGAAAACATGTCAGGTGTTCTTTAGGCTCCGTGTTAACCTGAAATTGCAGATTAACAATCCACACAGTAAATTTTCTCATGAAGTATTTCAGTCTTTTAGATACTGTGTTCATTAAACTGTTAATCAGTAAAGAAGACAATTCCAAAGATAAAAGAGTTTGGGCAGCCATTGAAAAGGAAAGTAGGTAAGCTATTGGCATGCAGACAACTGGCCCCTCTGTGAGAATCTAGAGCAGCGGTTCTCAACCTGCTGTTCGCGACCCCTTTGGGGGTCGCCTAAAACCATCGGAGAACACATTTCCAATGGTCTTAGGAACCGAGACACCGCTCTTCTATCCGTCTCCAGGCGGGTCTGCCCACATGCAGATGCGCCCACATACAACATGAGGAGCTGTATTAAAGGGGCACAGCATTAGGAAGGTTGAGAAGCACTGATCTAGAGATTAAATGGCCATAAATGGCTGAATGACTTAGATAATCATCAGAATCTAACATGTTCCTCTCGAAGAAGCTTTCCTCTAAATTCACATGAAATATTATCAAGATTTTTTAAAAATCAAGTTTATTACCTGATGGATAGCCTCTTCTTCCCTCAACAAACTTATATTCTCCATATTGTATCCTCAACACAAAAAAGAGATCCCTCAAATGCCTTAAAATGGGAATGCCTTGCCCTGCCAATGAATTTGTCCTCAGAAACAGATTTTCAAATGCATGACTGTACCCCAAGAATCAGAAGAGTCTTATCACGTTAAAAAGATTTTTCCAAATTTGCAACCCTTTATAAACTTGCAGGATATTTAATAAACTAAATTCAAAATGGCAGATTGTAGTACAAAGGAATAAATATCTCAGAAGAAATTAAAGGTGAAATGCTGATCACAACTTTAAAAATATTTGTGACTATTTCATGAACATAATATAAAGTAGGCCATATTCCTGTGAATATACTCTTTCCTTTTATGGAACAATAGTTTTTAATTATGTATCTTGCTGTTCTGCTTCTTTGATGTTAAAATCACAGCTTCAGTTCAAACCAAGTTATTGTATTTACAAAGCATTCTAGGTCCAAGGCATTCTAGCTGTTGGGACAAGTCTCTATTCCAACTTGCAATTCACACTCTTTCAAAGTAGTATAACATCTACTATATCATTTCATTCTCACAAAAAGTCCAACGTGGCACCATTGATAAATACTATGATGATTTTAAGACAACTTGAGACTACCCAAAGCAATCTATAGATTCAATGCAATTCACATCAAAATACCAAAGGCATTTTTCACAGAACTAGAACAAACAATCCAAAAATGTGTATGGAACCACACACACAGATACACAGACACACACAAACACACCTATGCCACAGCAATCTTGAGAAAGAAGAACAAAGTTGGAGGTGTCATGCTACCTGATATCACACTATATTACAAGGCTATAGTAATCATCACAGCATGGTACTAGTATAAAAACAGACACATAGATCAATGGAAGAGAATAGACAGCCTGGCTATAAACCCACAGCTATAGATCAATTAATCTATGACAAAGGAGGCAAGAATATACAATGAGGTAAAGATAGTTTTTTAAATAGATGGTAATGGAAAAACTGGATAGATACATGCAAATAAAATAAAACTACACCACCTTCTCACATGATATATAAAAATAACCTCAAAATGGATTAGACTTACATGTAAGACGAGAAATCACAAAACTCCTATAAGAAAAGACAGGCAGTAAACTCTGACACTGCTTTTAGTAATATCCTTTTGGATTATCTCATCAGGAAAGGGAAACAAAAGAAAAAATAAACAAATGGAACTACATCAAAATAAAAGTTGTTTGCACAGCAAAGGAAACCATCAACAGAACAAAAAGACAACCTATTGAATAGGAGAAGATATTCACCAATGATACATCCGATTATGAGTTAATATTCAAAATTTATAAAGAACCAATAAACTTAACAGCAAAAAACAAAAACCCCACGAACAATTCAATTTAAAAAAAGGCAGAAGACCTTAATAGACATTTCTCCAAAGAGGACATACAGATGATCAAAGTACATATGAAAAGATGCTTATGTCACTAATCATCAGAAAAATGCAAACTGCAACCACAATGAGATATCACCTGTCAGAATGGCTACCATCAATAAATTAACAAACAAACAACAAGTGTTGGCAAGGATGTAGATAAAAGGGAATCCTCATGCAGTGTTGGTGGGAATGCAGACTGGTGTAGCCACTGTGGAAAACAGTATGAAGTTTTCTCAAAAAATTAAAAATGGAACTGCCTTATGATCCAGCAATTCATTTATTTACAATAGTATTGTTTATAATAGCCAACATATGGAAGCAATCCAAGTATCCAATAGATGTGCAGAAAAAGATGTGGTACAGCCCTGGCCGGGTTGCTCAGTTGGTTAGACTGTCGTTCCAGTACAATAAGGTTGCAGGCTCAATCCCCAGGTCAGGGTCAGGGCACATACAAGAATCAACCAATGCCCTGGCCAGTTTGGCTCAGCAGTGAGAGCAATGGCCCACGAACCAGAAAGACCCAGGTTCGGTTCCCCCTAGGGGCATGTACCTTGGTTGCAGTTTGTCCTCGGTCCCGGTTGAGGCTGTGTGGGTGGCAACCGGTCGATGTGTCTCTCTCACATCCATGTTTCTTTCTCTCTTCCTCCCTCTCTCCCTCGCCGCTCTATCTGAAGATAAATGTAAAAATGTCCTCGGGTGAGGATTAAAAAAAAAAAAGAATCAACAAATGAATGCATAAATCAGTAGAACAAGAAATTGATGTTTCTTTCTCTCTCTCTCAAAACAATAAAACAAACAAAAAGATGTGATATATAATATAATGGAATATTACATGGCCATTAAAAAAAAATGCAATCTTTCCATTTGCAACAACATGGATGGACCTAGCAGGTTATGCCGAATGAAATATGTGACACAGTGAAAGACAAATACTATATGATTTCACTTATATGTGAAATCCAAAAATAAAATAAATGAACAAACAAAACAAAAACATACTCATAGATACAGAGAACAAACTGATGGTTGCCAGATGGGAGGGGTGCTGAGTGGCTGGGTGAAAAAGGTGAAGGGATTAAGAGGTGTACACACTGGCACATACAAAATAGTCACAGGGATGTAAAGTCAAACATTAAAAAAAACAGTCAATAATTTTACAATAACTATGTATGGTATTAGACTTATGGGGGGGGGTATCACTTCGTTAATTATAAAAATGTCTAACCACTGT